AACGACCAAGGGCAGTGGCGCAGAAGATATAATTTTGAATTGTATCAGCTCTTTGATGAGCCAGATGTCATAACGTTCATTAAAACACAGCGATTTAGATGGGCTGGACACAATAATATGAATGCCAGAAAATACCATAGCTAAAAAGCTAACCACAGGAACACCTGTAGGAAAAAGAAGCTAAGGCTGACCACGAATTAGGTGGTTAGATTGAGTAGAAACCGACTTACGAATATTAAAAATCAGAAGATGGCAACATGTTGTCAAAAACCGAACAGAATGGCGACGAATCTTAGAGCAGGCCAAGATCCACAGAGGATTGTCGAGCCAAGATGATGATGATTATGTATAATAGATCCGTTAGAATATTACAAGAAAGAAGTTAGAAGATTTTAGGTCATTAAATAAGCCTAACTGCTAACATGACTAACCAACTACCAGTATAAGCAGTTTCTTTCTTATCAGTCAACTCCTTCTGATAAAAAACTGAAACAGAATGTGGCACTTCTTTATCCTTGGAATAAGAAATTGTCCAAAAGACGAATGAATTGTGTAGTAGTCAATATAAAACTAATACATTATAATTCATCATCATCTTTGGCTCGACAATCCTCTGTGGATCTTGGCCTGCTCTAAGATTCGTCGACCATTCTGTTCGGTTTTTGGCAACATGTTGCCATCTTCTGATTTTTATTATTCGTAAGTCGGTTTCTACTCCATCTAACCACCTAATTCGCGGTCGGCCTTTGCTTCTTTTTCCTACAGGTGTTCCTGTGGTTAGCTTTTTAGTAATGGTATTTTCTGGCATTCGTATTATGTGTCCAGCCCATCTAAGTCGATGTGTTTTAATGAACGTTATGACATCTGGCTCATCAAAGAGCTGATACAATTCAAAATTATATCTTCTGCGCCACTGCCCTTGGTCGTTTACAGCTCCAAATATTTTGCGGAGTATTTTACGCTCAAATATTCCCAAAAGTCTTTCATCTTTCTGCGTTAGAGTCCATGTTTCTGCTCCATATGTGAGGACCGGCCTCAGCAATGTTTTGTATATAATAATTTTAGTTCTTCTTTGAATGTTTCTTGAGTGGAAATGCTTTTGGAGTCTATAGTATGCCCTATTTGTAAGATTTATTCGTCTTGTGATTTCTTCGCTTGTTTTATTGGTAGCAGTCAATAGCGACCCAAGGTATGTGAAGTTGTCAACACGTCCAAAGGTATGACTTCCAAAGACTGTTTCTCGTTCCTCATTTGCTATCGGATCCTTTGTAACCAACATGTACTTGGTTTTGTCTTCGTTGATGACTAGACCAACCTGTTTCGCCGCTGTTTCCAATTCTAGGAGATATTGCTCAACATCTCGCATGCACATTATAATTCACTTAGGATATTTCCAAAAACAAAATTGTCATGTCGAGCAGTAGTAACAAAATAAGTTACTGATCATGGACTCAAGATTCCACTACAGAAATGGAAATCGAACCATTAAAATAAAAATATTTTAAAATGAAATTGTGGTTATTCCATTAAAGATAGTAAATAAATTAATCACAAAATTGTATAATGTAAAAAATTCCTAAAACTGTTTTCTAATCAAATATTATGTTGTGGTATTGATGGTTTATTACATAACATTTAATGAAAAGGTGAATTTACTTTATCATTAATAATATACATATATTGTGCATACTGCTTTGTTCTGTAGCTGGTACAGAATATTTGCAAACATTGTTTTTCCCATCTACTTTAATCATGTGGATGAATACAAATTAGGGAAATTTTTATTGAAAGATATAAGCAAATCAAAATAAAAACTATTTTAATATATTTTGTCTTTAATACCTCTTGTCATATCTTACATACATACTGAAAAAAACACACCTGGACAAAAAAGATCACTTAAACCTTAGAAATGTATTAGCTAATAAAACATCAATTATAATTGCTTATTTAAATCAAATTATTTTTAAACAACAGATTATTGGAACTAATGTAATGTTATGGCACTCTACTATGGCGTGCAACAATAAATTTTACAGCGAAGAATAAACAAAATTCAACCAATTACAGAACGAAGCAAGTTGTATAACAGAAAGATTCTGATAAAACTGAAAGTTAAATTCTATAAACCTACGTAGGTCCTATGATTTATAATACCAAATGTTGAGTTGGGTAACAAAAAAGATAAAATTAAGAAGGGACTTTAGGAGAAGCCTCAGTGTGGTGCCAAAAGATAGTCAGACAATATGAAGAATAACTGAATTGCAAGTTGATGGACAGTTTACCAGAGAAAGAACTGGTGGGAGAAACTTGGACAATATGGTTCAGAAAAGTTTGTGAAGGGGATTAATATTGATATTACCCAATACAGAAATTGTTAAAGAAATGTAATTAAAAAAGCTAACTACACATATTATGGATAAATACAAACCAAATGAGGATTACATTTTTGTATCTGGTTGAGACAAATTAATTGACATATTTTGGATTTTATAAAAGAAAACATGCTATTAAAAATAGAAACAATAAAAATAACTTCATTTTTAACAGGGAGTCACAGAGAGAACAGAATCAATAAAAAATTTACTTAACATTTGACATGTTCAGGTTTTTTCTAACAACAAAAAGAAGATTTTTCTGTTTTATAAAACATTTTTTTCCTAAATATGAGAATTAACTACAATTTTACTTAAAATTCCATTCTGTTTGATATGTAATAAATTGTGGATTCCCATTAAGATAGAAATTAATACTTTCTTTGCTACAAATATTTACATGTAGACAAAAACGAATAATTCCATAATGCTGGTAATTTTTGGAAACTATAATCACACTAAATGGAGAAAATAAATTCAGTACAGCTAGTTTTTTTTTAAATATGTACATGGTATTCACCATTCACTACAATCAATATCAGGTGTCTAAATGCAAAACCTGACCAATCACATGTTTTAAGATTTTGAGATTTATACATCATTCTACTCGTAATTTAAAGAGCTACCAGTTGCTGTATAGTTTTAATATAAAAGATACAACATCACATCTTGCATGAAATATTTCGGATATAAAACACACTCTAGATGCAAACCTGACATGTCCACATAGTCAACTTTAGTGCAAACGCTGACATGTCCACATCAACTAATGAGAATGTGAGTTGGATGTATGGTGTACCTAAGGCACATGTGAGACAATTCACTAGTTGAGAGCAAAATTCATTGTTGATTGAACAATGAAAAAAATGTCTGTATGTGTTGTGAACAATATAATTAAAAAATTCAGGTGAAATCTACAGGTTGAGAGGTTGATACCCCATTCTTGACTGGAAAACTAACATTCAGCTTGTTATGAATCCACTAGCTTAATAGCACTTTAAATTTCAAATGTCAAAGAGCTTAATACTTGCATAAACTCCAAATGATATTGCAGTTATAAAACAATTTGGGTACCGATAATTCTTGCTAAGAAGTTGACCAAAACTGCCTACAGAACCTGCAGCTGTGAAGGTAGGTTTACCATTAAAACCAAGACAAAAGTATCAGTATACATAAACTGATTGAACTGCACTTTGAAGAAAATCCAACAGCTACTATGTCAAAATAAGCTAGTTGCCTAACATTGCAAGATGCTTTGCTGTAGTAGAAAACACTACAAAAATTTAAAAATTCTGTTTGGAAGAACACTTACATTTTGATACGTAAATATTTTTTATTTTTTCATATTATTGGTGTATGCCCATGACAACATGTATGTTTGTTTAATTAAAAATGTTAAGTTTTCCAATTCCTGCCATTCTAAACAAGAATTTGTGGTCAAAACATGACATATCCAAGTAAAAAACATGCAAAACCCAAAATATCCAAATTTAAATTTCATTTAAAAAAAAAATTCGATGCAATAGATTTATGGACACCACTTATTAGGTATATAGAGAGCCAAACAAACATAATATCCTTTGATGCAGGATATTTCAAGCAGAAAAAAAGTTTCTGTAAGCTTTTTTTGGGTTTACTTAAATTTTTTTTAATGGACATGTTTGGTTTTGAATTTAGGCAACTGATATAATATTTGCCAACTACACAGATTGATATTGGTAGTTATAGAGTGGTCAACTACTCCTTTTTTTAGGTATATACAGTGAGGGGCAAATGAATATAAACAAAATTGCTGAAATCAACTCAAAAAGTGGAACTGTAATGAAGATATTATGAAGTTGTTACAACATGGATAAATGGTTTCTTAAAAGTGCAGAGAAAATGGTTCACAACAATTTTATCACAATATTAAACACCCATCATGAAACCAGAGAAAACGCTTGACTTGTGACTAATGTTTTTCATCTATAAATAGGTGGAATTATGACCAATGATCTATTTTTCTCATTGCTATCTTGGCATCGGAATTTTTAAGCAAATAAATAATTTACTGAAAAACTTACAAAACACTGGTATAAAATATATTAAATTATATTTTCTGCCTTGATATTTGCTTTAAACATAAAACTATGCAAAATGAAAAACAATCTTAAATTATATAGAACAAATATTTTACCAGTAAAAGTACAATCAATTAATTTGTTTACAAAAATAAATATCTTGAATGGAATCTCACTATCCACATGTTTTTAAAAACAAAAAGTGATAGTTAAGATATTAATGACAACAAAAACAAGTACACAAAAAAAACAAACATTTTTGATACTACAGTGACATTGCTTTTGCCCTACATTAATAGATAATATCTATTTATTATTACTGCAAACGACACACTTTTAATTTCCGGATAATTAGTTAATACCGCCCAAATCATATATAATCAAATACAAAAGTAACAAACATTTGTCAGGAATAAAACAAACTGTGTTTTAAAACTTTACCTGTATGTAGTTTCAGTTAAAAATTTAAAGTTTTTAATTCCCACGTTTTAAATTTTTTGCGATTTCTGAGAATTTGTAGGTGAGGCCAACTGGGCTTTTTATATTACTAAAAATTATCACTTACCTTCCAAGGTGTAAATCCTCTTTTAGATTTCGATGGTATTTTCACATCTAAGTAACCGTTGTAATAGTCGACCTGCATTGTTGTTGAGTTATTGTTGTTTGTTGAACATTTGCATTTGAATTTCCTAATTGGAAAATGAATCACTCCTCACTTCGCCATGATCAAAACATAAACAAGTGTAGAGTGTAGATAGCAAGGTGGGGGAGCTATCGATGAAATAGATTCGATTGGTTAATACTAGTTTAAAAAAAACTTTCAGATTATCAGATTAAAGAAAACTTACAAATCAGTAATTGATTGACAAAACGATTGTATTTTATATACAAATTTAATTATGACCATAACCAATATTCTATTTAAAAACCTCTTGTTTGAGGATGTTTTGGTAAAATTTCAGTAAATAAAAGCAATTTTGTTAATAATGTAAATTATAATTAATATATCAGTCTATTAATTTTGTACGTAAAGTAAGCAGTTGCCACAATCTCGGTAAACTGTTTATTAAAATTTTAAATTAATAAGTTAATAAATTTAACAATAATCGATTCTAAGAGGTGACTGCTGTAATAATCGAATGATTCGTTACATCGATTTAATAATCGAAAACACCTAGTTTGTTGATCTCCGCCCAAGGAAATACCGATCCCATTTGGCGGGACATTCCATTTAAGATCGAAACCACCTCGAAACATTGAACTGCGAGTGTATTACGGGTTATCTAAGTTGTAGAGATTGTGAGAGGAACAAATATTTTTTACTTATTTTCCAAATACCATAGTTAAACATATTTTATAGAAATCGTTTTCTTTATTGTAATTTAATACGTATATTTTAATACGTGTATTAAAATAAATTTTAGAGATTTTATAAAATTTCATTTTCCTTCACACATTGTCGTTTTCCTCAAGTTTTCTTAAAATCCTTTTTTCGTTATGATTGGTAAGAATTTCTCTACTTGATTTTTAAATTTGGAGTTTGCTAGTGTTTGTTATTTTTATTAGTTTTTATAACTTTTATTAAGGTTTCTTTTGTTTTTCTCAAAATCAAGCTTTTTCACTTATATCCTTTCTGCAAAAAGCGAGGTTAAATGGTTTAAAGGCTGCAGAAATTACGTAATTTGTTAAGTATGTGACTAGATATAACATGCAACCAGAAAAAGCAACTCTATACCTATTTTCTGCACCCTATCTCTAACTTTGATAATCTTTGACTTATGGACCCCAAATTGAACAGTTGTTCCTTGGATCCAGAAGATGCAAGCAACAAACAAGTTTTTACTTTTTTATTGAGGCATTTTACTTTTGTCCATGTAACATGGACGTCGCCTGATGGTACAACCAAAAATCAAATAGATCACATCCTAATAGAAACCAGGCACTTCTCTAATCTAATGGATGTACGTACTTATCGTGGAGCTAATATAGATTCAGACCACTTCTTAGTAGGCGCAAAAATAAGAGCAAGAATCTCAAATGCAAAAAAAGAAAAGGGTAAGAAAAGTACTCGATACAATTTAAAACTCTTGAAAGAGCCCCGTGTACTAGAAAGGTATCAAAATTACCTTGAACATGAAAGCACAACAGATGAGAATTTAACAGCTAGCGAGCAATGGGATATATGTAAAAGAACAATTAAGGAAGCGGCAAACAACGTCCTAGGACCAGAAGAATCCACTCCACGCAACAGTTGGTTCGACGATGAATGTGAAGATATCACTAAAAGAAAAAATTATGCATATAAACTTATGCAACAAAGAAGAACACGGGATAAGGAGCAAATGTACAAAGATCTTAGGAAGGAGGAAAAACGCATACATCGAAGGAAAAAGCGGACCTTCGAAAACCAGATTATGCAAGAGCTTCAATCATTAAAGGGGCAAAATGAAACTAGAAAGTTCTATAATATCCTAAATAAGACAAGAAAAGAATTTAAACCACGGCTGACGATGTGTAGAGACAAAAATGGACATATAGTCAGTACCGCTGACGCAGTACAAAGCAGATGGGTTGAGCACTTCAAAGAACTACTTGGTACCGAAGTGGAAAATGATGCGTCACCCAAAGACCAAGAAATAACACTCACGTAGAACCTCCTTCAATATTTGAAGTGAAAGACGCAATCACACGACTCAAAAATAGCAAGTCCCCAGGAGTGGATTGTATCCCCGCAGAGCTCATCAAACATGGAGGTAACAGCATTATGCACCAAATTCACAACATAATAGTCAAAGTCTGGGAAGAAGAACAAATGCCAGAGGAATGGTGCACTGGAATCATATGTCCACTACACAAAAAGGGAGATTTGTTGGAATGTAAAAATTATAGGGGTATAACTCTTCTGAATACAATATACAAAATATTCTCCAACACCCTGTACAGCCGTTTAAGTACGTACGTGGAAGAAATCCTTGGTGAGTATCAAAGCGGTTTTAGGCCAGGTAGGTCAACAATTGACCAGATTTTTGTGCTACGTCAAATCTTAGAAAAAACCAATGAATTTAATATTGACACGTTCCATCTCTTTGTGGACTTTAAGTCAGCGTATGATAGCGTCCTAAGAGGTAAATTATACGAAGCCATGAATGAACTTAACATTCCCCATAAATTAATAAGGCTCGTAAAAACAACTATGAGTAAAGTGATCTGCAGAGTGCAAATACAAGGCGATATGTCACAAGCGTTTGAAACATATGCAGGGTTACGGCAGGGAGACGCGCTGGCGTGCCTTCTCTTTAATATAGCGTTAGAAAAGACTATAAGAGATGCCGAGTTACACAATAGGGGAACAATCTTTAATAAATCAACGCAGATTATGGCGTACGCTGACGATTTGGATTTGATTGCACGTACTACACGAGGACTTAAAGAGATGACTTCCACCTTCTTGACAGCCGCACAAAATATGGGCCTTAAAATAAACGAGGAAAAAAACCAAAATGCTAGCATCTATTCCAAATAACAGAGATAGAGCTAGAAACGCCGAACAAAACTTCAGTATAGACCAATATAATTTTGAGGTAGTAAATAAGTTTACATATTTGGGTTCTCTCATAACAAACGATAATGACACATCTGAAGAAGTTAAACGGAGGGTACTGCTAGCAAACAAATGTTATTTTGGACTAAGCAAGCAGCTAAAAAAACAGAAATTTAAGCCAGAAAACCAAACTAATAATATATCGAACACTCATCCTACCAGTGCTGACATATGGGTCAGAAACATGGACCATCTCCAAAACAGACGCAAATCTTCTGCTCGTCTTCGAAAGGAAGATACTAAGAAGAATAATGGGCGCATTCTGTGAGAATGGTATTTGGAGAAGGCGATATAATTTCGAATTGTACGAGAAGTATAAAAAAATAGTAAATGGTAGAGATGTAATATCCTTCATAAAAATAGGTAGGCTTAGATGGGCTGGACATGTGTCAAGAGCAAATGAAAATTACCCACCCAGACGAACTCTATTATCGGTCCCAGTGGGAAATAGGAGTAGAGGCAGACCCCGACTAAGATGGAGGGACGGTGTGGACGAGGACGCAAGGAAAATCGGCGCGGCAAATTGGCAACGGTTGGCGATGAACAGAAACGACTGGCGAAATAGACTGGGGAAGGTCAAGGCTCAACTAGAGCTGTAGCACCACTGATGATGATGATATTTACTTTTGTCATCCTTTTCTTTATAATATGGACAGAGATTACAGTACTTTCTATATGCTTCCGCAGGCTCTTCTGAGGTGGCTGCTCTGTTTTTCCTCCGGATACATCAGTAAGGGTTGCTCTCAACTGACGGCTTACAGTTGGAATCGCCAGTCTCTGCTTCTGCCATTGCTGTGTTAAGTTCTTACTTAGTTGTAACATAAATTTAAATCTACGTAAAGACTTGTCATTTTTATTAGCTCAGCAAAAATTATGTACATAAATTACATTAAATCTATTAATGCATACAATGTTAAGCTTGTTATAAAATAAATATAGCGGCCATAAATGAGTCTACTCCTCCTTTTGTTGAGTTATAAATTCATTACAACTTCTGGCTTTTTAAAGGCCTCATTTATTGTTGCTTCTTGATGACAGAAGGAAACCAAAATCACCAGTTTATTTGCTTTTGGCTTAAAGGACACTAAGCTCATATTTTGATCAAACAAAAATAAAGATGTTCCTGGTTTCCTCTCTTGAAAATGAATATCACAAAATTTGGGGGTAATTATTTTTTATTCTTCTTCATAGTGCCAATAACAGTAAGTTTGTAGTTTACAAGTAAGTTTGTTACTAGAGGTACACTATAAAACCAGTTATCCATAGTAACATTACGATTTGATCCCTTTATTGACGATTCTAAACTTTCAACAAAATAGTCTGGTATTGGTTTCCCTAAATCTGTTGCTTGCTTACCAATATTAGAGATGGCATCATCATATACCTTGTTGAATTTTCATACATCATCACTATTTTAATTCCATAATGATCAGGTTTAGAAGATATGTACCGGGTGGTCCAATAAGCCGATCGCTCGGCTATATATCAGAAACTATTCATGTTATAACTTTAGGAGAAAAAATTTCTTAGTAAAAGTGGCCAAGAGAAATCGCTGGAAATAACTTTCAAGTTTCTAGGTTAACCGCTAGGGGGCGTAACCTGTGAAGAAAACTTTGAAAACCAGTTTTTTTAGAAATATGCCCAATTATACCAAGTGTTAAATAAATAAACTAGAAAGAGGCCTTAATTCTTCACAAAGTTGTTCAAGTACTTTTTTTTATTTTTTCAAATAAAGGGTGGGGGAGAGTGGGGAAGTATTTGTGGATAAATACCTATAACTTTGGATTGGATTAACCGATTTTAACGAAATTAGTGTCATTAGAAAGAGTGTGGATGAATTAATTTACATCTACTATAAAATAATTGCATTTAGTTTTAATTGTCATAGGTAGAGGGTACTTTTGAATAGAAAAAAATAAAATTAGTTTTTCTTCAAAATGTTTAATGGAAACACCTATTTATTGTAAACTATAATGGAACTGGATTAAATTCGTAACAAAATGGCGCAAACTGCATGTTAATAGCTTTTGTCGAACTCGAGATATGAATAAAAACGCATAAACATAAGTAAGTATAGTATTGACTCACCCTGTATTATAA